ATTTCTGTGCCTCTGTCTCCTCTTCGTAACTATCGCCATTACTGTTATGAATGCAGACTAGCATTCTGTGGAACAGAGGAGTTGTCTGTAACTGAAGCAGCAGATCGAGACTTTTACTTAAAGCAGGAGTGTGGAATAGTGTAAGGAATCTTCAATATTTGATATAATCTGAAATTTAGACATAATCCAGATGATAATGATAAAAACAAAAAAAGGTTTTGAGGTCTGGTAACTTTAATAAGATGTCAACAGCAGGTGTTACTGGGTGTAGGTAGGTGAAATGAGATTAAATGCTGATGTGTATGCTACACCAGCAGTAGGTTAGAGGCTGCATTACTTTGACTTGCAGTCATGTCTGGATAATGATGTAGACAGGAAGTTGAAAACAAAACGAGAAAGTTATGTCATAGCCCATCTGTGGAGAATACAAGCAGAAGGAAGGAAGACCAACAAGAGAATGCACTTGCTAAAAACCAGTGGGAGGGCGACATAGTTTTGCTCTTATCACAGAATGTCAGGGATTGTAAGGGACCTCGAAAGATCTAGTCCAGCCCCTCTGCCAGAGCAGGATCACCTACAGTAGGAACACGTCCAGGCAGGGTTTGAATGTCTCCAGAGAAGGAGACTCCACAACCTCCCTGGGCAGCCTGTGCCAGTGCTTTGTCACCCTCACAGTGCAAATATTTTTCCTCCTATTATTGTGGAACCTCATATGCTCCAGCTTGCATCTCTTGCCCCTTGTCCTGTCATTGGACATCACTGAAAAGAGCCTGACTCCATCCTCCTGACACTCACCCTTCACATACTTAAAAGCATTAATGAGGTCACCCCTCAGCCTCCTCTTCTCCAAGCTAAAGACACCCAGCTCCTTCAGCCTTTCCTCGAAAGGGAGATGTTCCACTCCATCATCTCTGTGGCTCTGCGCTGGACTCTCTCAAGCAGTTCCCTGTCTCTCTTGAGCTGAGGGGCCCAGAACTGGACACAATATTCCAGATGTGGCCTCACCAGGGCAGAGGGGAGGGGCAGGAGGACCTCTCTCAATCTGTTAGCCACCCCCCTTCTAATACAGCCCAGGATGCCATTGGCCTTCTTGGCCACGAGGGCACATTCCCGGCTCATGGTCATCCTGCTGTCCACTAGAACCCCCAGGTCCCTTTCCCCTACGCTGGTCTCCAACAGGTCAGTCCTCAACCTGTACTGGTATTTGAGGTTATTCTTTCCCAGGGGCAAGACTCTACACTTGGCCTTGTATTTTGTAAACTTTTCCCCCACCCACCCCTCCAGCCTGTCTAGGTCTGGCTGAATGGCAGCACAGCCTTCTGGTGTGTCAACCACTCCTCCCAGTTTTGTGTCATCAGCAAACTTGCTGACAGTACTCTCTAATCCCACATCCAGGTCATTCATGAATATATTGAACAGCACTGGCCCCAGTACTGACCCCTGAGGGACCCCACTAGACACAGGCCTCCAACTAGACTCTACCCCATTGGCCACAACTCTTAGACTTCTATCCTTCAACCAGTTGACAATCCACCTCACTACCCAATCATCCAAAGCTGAAAAGAATAATTGTAGTGCTAGGAGTTGAGTTTAGTGTTTTGTGAGTTTTCACATAATTTTGTAGTGATCATGAGAATTAAATCCTACTTTGAAAATTGGCTTGAACACAATTTAAATATGGGTGACTTTGAACTTGTTGCATGTTTTGCTACAATACATAATTTAGAGTTAGATGTCTATTTTATCACAACCTAATTTCTATTTGCTTTAATAGGAATCAGTCAGAAAACGGGTGATTTTGAAAGACCATACTGTGTGCAGCCCTTCTATGTTCTTTCAGTTACTTCTGCCTGTCATTTTATGCACAGTTTGACAAACTCCTATTGCTCACACTTCATGTTTTATTGACAAGGAGTCATTGTTAAATTAGATTTTAATATGTTAAAAAGCAATGATGTTAATAACTTTATTGATGTCAGCATAGTAAGGTAAGATTCACTTCAGGATTCAAAACCACTTTTCTCTGTTGCCCTGTGAAGCTGTATTCACATATAAACCTGGTATGTCTAACACTGGAGGGTAAGATTTGCAGTGAATAAAATATACCACTGTTGGAGCTGCCTGATCTTGTTTGAAAGAAATGTTTGAGGTTTTCTTTTTTAAATGTTTTCCTTTCAGTTTTGAAGTAGTAACAAACTTCGAGATACAAGCCAGTTTGAGCAGTGGTCCTAGTGTTTTTTGTGTTTTTTCCCAAAATGGTATCAGTTACGGGCCATGTTATATTGCCTTTTATTCTTAACAGATACTACTTTCAGGTAGCATGCACTATTAATGAAGCAATACCTGGAAATGACAACCCCATCTGATCTGCATTTCTCCAGGTGCCACGTTAACAAAGTGCGAGACAAGACTTTCTCCAGATTTCGTAGTGCGAATTGAATGAATCCATAATCTGGATTAAGATTTTTCTTCTCTGTTTTGTACATGGAATCTAAGAATCAGAAAGGTCAACGGTGTACTTAGAACCACAGGGCAGCTGGAGTCTGAGCAAAATTCATACAAATATTTTTCCCCTCACTTGATTCTGTTTGACATGTGTAATCTTTTTCAGTTAACTCCTGTTGTTCTCACCTGTATCTGGAATACTCTCCTAATCATCTTGGGTGCTGTTAAAAAACAGGCAATGTTTTCCCTTTAAGGAAACTACATGTTTTAGTTTACTTTAATGAACTATATTTTACATATAGTGAAAAATTAAAATGTGCGAACAAATAGTTATATCTGAAGAGCCATTAGTTTCGTATTTGTTTAATCGCTTGAGAAAAAAGAACCAAATGCCATTCAAATTCTGGGTTATAGTTGATAGAGACTTTGTCTGAAGTGGCCAACAGACTGATTTTACTGGTCCTGCTGATTTCTAACTCCAGACCAGATATTGTAAGAGGTATTGACTCTGATAAAATGGAAGGTTGTTAGTTTTAGCTTTTTTTTTTTTTTTTTTTAAAAAAAGTAATCCCTTCCATCCCAACTCTGAGTGATTTTGTCCAGCTCAAGTTGAAAAATTGGTCTTGACATTGAATGTTCTACAGATTTCAAACATAAAAATACAATTATATGTGATCAGAAACTCTTTTAAAAAAATAAACACTTGAGAAAAGTAAGTTTCTTTTGGCAGAATTTGGGAGAAAGCCTCTTCAAAAGCATGTCCTTGTTTATTCTGCTTCCTTTGTCATGTGCTTCATTCATTTCAGTTTGTATTCTTATAGGCGAATATATTTGATTGATATTTCACCGTGTATGTGAAATTGTGCTTCCTTTCTGAGATCATTGTGGCTGAAGTGATTTGATTCTTCTGCTGTTGTGTCTCTTCCTTGGGTATGACTGCTGGTGGGCTTTGTCATCTTCGTTTTGCTGAGGAGAACATCTCATTACACTATAAATCATGACTTGATAGTTATGTTGCTATTTGTAGGTTTAATTTCTAATTTATCATCTCATTTTGTTTTTTCCTCTTTCCCCCTTTGATGATGTGACTGGACTTTGCAGGTACCTAGTCCCTGTGACGGCTAAACTGAGGGTGTAATCTCCGGTACTTAAGCAAGGGGGGATATTTATAGCTCTTGTTTGTACTAAGTGCTTATCCACACAGGGGACACTGCAGGAAACAAAAGCTGTGGACCGGAGGTGTGGCTATCAGAGTACATATATATATATTTTGACCGCGCGGATAAAATGGCTTTAAAAGAAAAGTGACCTAAAGTGAGACCTAAAAATGTGTTTGGATCAAGTCTGAAATACAGCAAATATGCTGAGGTTTAGTGGCATATCATGCAGTTCTCATCTCTGACTTCCTTAGAATCGCTGGCAGGATGTGCCAGAGGCACTAGGGCTCTGCTCTCCAGACCTTCCTCTTTTCCCTCTCTGCTGGGAAGCTGGGGGGTGTGGGGGGGTACGTGGCAGCAGCAGTCTGGCTCTGCAGACAGAGACAGACCAGTATGACTGCTGATAGAGATTTAGTAATACAGCTCTAATTCCAGTGGAAAGATAAGGGATTTACAGATAATGCACTTGTGCTCTACATTTAGGTATGCTTTATTCCAAAAGTTAGATATAACTTAGAACTCTTTTGAGATCTCCTAGTTAAAAACAATAGTTTGAAAACAAACAACACTGATAAAATCCCCACAACAAAAAGCAAAATAGCAAGTTACAAACTAAGATAGTTCTTGGTTTTCTAGAAACAAATCATTGAGATTTCCTTTCCAACAATACTTCTGAAGCACAGATAAAATGGCTTCCTGTCCCAGGGTTTCCTGTATCCATGGCAACCTGACTTTAAGCACTTCTTTTTCAGTTTCCTGAGCAAACAGTTGCAAATCCTGAGGCAAAATGTGAGTGTTTTAGAACTTGGCAATACTGCCTTTACAAAGGTTTCGCAGATGAGTGTAGTCAGTCAACTTGTAACTTGGTCCGACGAACTGCAAAATGGCAAAATAACAGAAATAGTGAACTTCAGATTTGGGGTAAGGAATTGGTTTTATTTATTTTGACTGTAACTCAGCTTTATAAAAGTAAAAATCAAATTATAAATGAGCTGCCAGTGAAAGAAAGCTTGTTTCCAGCTGGCTTTTCTACTTGAATGCAGTTGAAACATTTCCTAGTCGTTGTTAACTGTAGAAAGTAGTTAATAAACAGTAATTAGAATTTATTAGAAGCTGTCATTTTGGCAGCTTAGTTAGTTTTATGCTGCAACTAGTTAAATATTTTCTGGCTAGGTTGGCAGTATGTTTATTTCATTGTTGATTTACTTTGAAATTTTTTTCAGTGTACTTCAAATTTATACTTAATTTTTAACATGCTTATTTGGCATCAAAGGAGAATATGTGAAATACCACTTGAAAGCAATACTTGTATTTTAAGGAGTGTACATGTAGAATCTTTAAACTTCCGAATTAATGATATTCATAAACTTGTTTTTATCTCTACTAGCAAAGTCAGAGATGAGTGAGAAGGCCAAAGACAGGGATATGTGTGGTCTGCAAAGTTCTCCACCCTGCCTGGGAGCATTCCTGTATATCCTTAATTGTTTTCTTTTGATGCTGCTCCAGAAGGAGGCTCTTGGCTGTCCAGCAGCTTGCCAGCTCTGCACAGGGAGACAAGTTAGCTGTCGTAACTTAGGGCTTTCGAGCATCCCACGGAACTTGCCAAAAACGACAATTCTTGTGTACCTCAGTGGGAATAATATATCGCATGTCACTCCAAATGAGCTGAGAGGCCTTCAGAAGCTTGCAGCACTCTACATGGATAACTCTAGTATTTCGTATGTACACCCAAAAGCTTTTGTGGAACTCCCCAAACTCTGCTACTTGCATCTAAATAACAATAATATCAAACGCCTGGATCCAGGAATCTTTGAAGGTCTTTCCAGTCTTCATTGTTTATATCTTCAGAATAATCAAATAGCTTTTGTTCCCAGAGGATTATTTAGTGATCTCGTTTCTGTTAGATATTTAACACTTCAAAGAAATCGTCTCAGTGTGCTTGGAAGTGGGACTTTCTTGGGAATGATGAATCTCCAAACGCTTAACCTAGCCAATAATAAGATTTCACGGATATCTGATTCAGCATTTCATCATCTTGAAAACCTTGCATATTTGTTCCTTGAAGGTAACAACTTAACATTTGTGCCATCGAATGCTATTGGAAGGCTCAAAAATCTTGAAAGACTTTCTTTGTCTCACAATCCTATTGGATCAGTACATCCTTTTGCATTTAAAGGACTTAACAAGCTTAGATATCTGTCTTTAAAAAACGTAAAGCTAAAATGCATTGCTGTAAATGGATTTTTTGGATTAAGCAACCTTAGCCAGTTAATCTTAAGTTATAATGATTTAGAAAATGTAAATTCCAGCACTTTTACTTTATTGAAAAATTTAATGTATCTGCAGCTAGACAGAAATAAAATAACCAGTATTGGTGATGGTACCTTTGAAAAAATGGGACAGTCGCTTAAAGTACTCAATTTAGCATTTAATAATATTACAGAGTTGCAGCCTGAAGTGCTAAAGCCCTTAGTGTCTTTAACTCACCTCCAGGTAAATTATAATCCTTGGAACTGCAGCTGCAAAATGCTCAGATTACTTAATTGGCTTGCATCATCTCCTGTTTCTGTAAAAATTCACTGCCAGAGTCCTCTGAATATGCGTGGTAGACCTTTGCAGTACATTAAGTGGACTCATTTTGCAAACTGCAGTAGCCCCACTGCCAGCCCAGAAGCAGCAGCCTGGAGTCTGGGCTCTGCGGGTGCCTCTCACAGCGCTACCACCCTGCTGATGGCGTGGCATAAAGGGAATGGGCACAACACATTTGTCAATGCAGAAACTAAATATGCTGCTTCCTGGGAAGGAACCACAGCTGCATCTGCTAACCCCTTGCCTTATGAAGAGAATGCCGCTGAAATTCCATCATGGGCAACCACAGTGTTATCGACATTACCAGTGCAGATACCAGCACAGATTTCGCCTGTTAACAGAACTGTAGAGGATGGTTCACTTCCAACAGATGCTGCTTCTGTATCATTAAAAACATCCCTGGTTTGTACGCAGCAGGTTGAAAAGCTGAATCAGGCTTTTGACATTTTACTAGCCTTTTTCATTCTGGCTTGTGCTGTGATCCTGTTCTTAATCTGTAAAATTATTCAGTTTAGGCAGAAACTGAAGGTGCTGGAAAACTCTGGGGAAAAGAGAATAGAATATTACGGGTTCTATCAGCCTGGCAGATACAATATAACTGACACAGTACAGTCTCTAACTCGAAATTCAATGGGACATTCAGAACTGGACCAAATTAGGCTGCTTAAGCGAACAGCATCTGAAAATCAGGCACAGGTCATACTGTTTGAACATTCATCATTGTAATTTGTCTCATTCAACTTATAATGTTAACTTTATTGTGATTTAAAATGTCGAGAACTCAGGAACTCAATCTTCTAAAAATACCTTCACTGATTAAAATTGGTTGGTAGAATTGTGGGAAATGGTATAATTTGGATTCAGCATCATTTGCTTCCTGAATGTTCTGAAGTTTATTGATTTTTATTAGACGTCATTTAAATCTGACGTGGAGAGGTATATTACCCTCTGTCCCTGTTTTAGGAATCTTTCACCTAGCTCTAGTATACATGCAGTGTAATGTACACGTATATTTATTTTTATTTTGAAGTACTTAATGGTATAAGTTTCTATAGAAATTCCATAGCTAACTTGAAGCTTGAAGCAAGCAAAACATCAGTTTTTAGCAGGATCATGAAGCGAAAATATCTGAGGAAATGAGAAAAAAAAGCGCCATGCTTAGTTTATTGTGGTGTAGTTTCTGCTTTGCCTCTGTCAGTCATCACAGTGGAATAAAAAAGAGCATACTTAACATCTAGCATGATCAAATTCTCAAGGAAAGTAAAGTGTAAAATTACACAAATTTTACTCACACCTATGACATACTTTAATATACACAGTTGTGTTTTCAGTCTGTAATGAATATATTAAAGTGATTTTTTTTTTGTTAGTGTGTATCTGTATAATTTTATGATAATACTTGGAAATGGAGTTTATAGGGGAACTAAATATCTGTTGAACTGAAAAATTGACCAAGTTTATTACGTCTCATGTAATAGAGCTGGTTAATTATTGTCAATAAATGTATTTTGTCATCTATACAGTAGTAGTTTGAGGGACTTTTTGGCTATATAAAAGGTATAAACTGAAGAAATATACTATAAATAATTGTAGATTAATTGCTGAAAATATTTGCGTATTAGTGGTTTATGTTTGAAAATATCAGGTGAAAGTACATTTTCTTAGTGAAGACCTAATTTTAGCCTTCAACTGCAAAAGATCGATATTATTTTACTATATAGTTTGCACTTGTTTTAACTTTTTGTTTCAAATATTGATGTCATTTTATTGTCAAGTTATATCAAGTGTGTTGTAGCTTTATGTTCAACTTGAATTTTTTTTCATGTTGTTGCAGGAAAATTTCATTTATTCAGGAAAAAGTCATAAAATATGTTCCAAATAGTCCAGTCTTCTAAAATTTTTGGCTAGCTGCATAGGACTTATATTTGTATCTGCTGTTTGTCTTCTCCAGGCCCTGTGCCCTGGAGAGACTTCAGCCACTTGGTTTACGAGCTACACAACTTACAGTTAGATCCTTTTGAACAAGGGAGAATGGAGAACAGTGTTTTGATAGTCTGTCCTCCATGGGATCAAATTAAGTTGTGTAGAAGTATCTTGGAGTGCCAGGATCCAGGCTGGAGACTGAAGCATTCTACAGATGAGCCAGAACTGCACTCAGGGTTCTCACCCACCTGATTTCTTCTGGTGTCACTCACTTGCGTGGCCACCCTGTGCTGCTCCCTGTTGTCCTGCGTGTCCATCTCCAGTTCATTTCCTGGACCGACAGATTTTTATCTGCAGCCAGTACCTCTGTAGACCTTGACTGCACTGCATGGGTGTGAATGTGCAAGCCGGCCTCGGTGGCAGCTCGTCTCTATTGAATATCAATAATCGTGTATCTGTTTACTGTGTCATAATAGTATATTTCACTGTAATTTGCTGTATAATAGATCAAATACTTTACTTTTATGGAACATGTAATTCAGCTACTTGGGCAAAAGCTTAAAAGTATTTAGGATTGCTTGAGTAGAAACTTAAAAATAATTTTCTGCTTCTAGATCAGATGTTAAATGTGGTGGACAAATGTTTTTAGGGAAGGAAAACACTGACTCTAATTCATGCTAACTTTTCTTTTTAGATGGCTAATCCATTGCAGCCTCTTCCTCTTTAACTCATTTCTGTTACTCTCTGCCTCTCCTACATAATTCCTTGTGATCAGTGTTAAATTTGTTTTCAGTTAATCACTGCACAATCAGTGATTGCACAGTAATAGGTTTTTGCAGGTTTATGTGCTGCATTTCTGAATTTTCAATTTTATGTGGATGCCTTCAGAAATAATGGACTTAATAATGGAATCTAGTTAAGTTTTGATTGCTAGAAATGCTGCTGTGCCGTTGTTAGAGAGGAGTTTTGAGCGTGGGTAAATATTGAAGTGGAGCAAACCTGTTTCTCAAAGAAATCTGACAGGGGACAGCTCTGGATTTTTAGGTTCTGATTTCCACAGCTACTCTGCAGAAGAGCGTGAGAGGTTTCCCTCTGAAGGTGTGACCTTCCCACTGACAAGTTCCTGTGGTTGTTTGTCAGGTATGAAACTCACCATCTGTGGTGATGGAGCATGGAAAAAAACCTATGCGGTCAGAGCTGCTTGTGACAGCAAAGAGTTGGAGTAGTTGGAAGCCGTCCTATGGAGTTGTGTTATCCTCTAATATCCATCTTGGCAACAGTTTGGATTAGACTAAAAAGTAATGGAGAGATTTGTTGTGCGGTTGTTTGGGGGAACTGCCTTTCTTCTTAGTTAGTAGCTTTGGTATTTAAAAGTTACAGAATCACAGAATGTCAGGGGCTGGAAGGGACCTCAAAAGATCATCCAGTCCAGCCCCCCTGCCAGAGCAGGATCACCTACAGTAGGTCACACAGGAACGTGTCCAGATGGGTTTTGAATGTCTCCAGAGAAGGAGACTCCACAACCTCCCTGGGCAGCCTGTGCCAGGGCTCTGTCACCCTCACAGTGCAACTGTTTTTCCTCATATTTTTGTGGAACCTCATATGCTCCAGCTTGCATCTCTTGCCCCTTGTCCTGTCATTGGACATCACTGAAAAGAGCCTGGCTCCATCCTCCTGACACTCACCCTTTACATATTCATAAACATTAATGAGGTCACCCCTCAGCCTCCTCTTCTCCAAGCTAAAGACACCCAGCTCCTTCAGCCTTTCCTCATAAGGGGGGAACTGGAGGAATTGAACAGGGGAACTGCTTAAGTGATGCTCCTGTCCTCAGTTATGATTCTCGTGGGGACAGTGTTAACTGTTCCATTGTGAAAGTTCTTCTGAATACAGTGTTCCTGTCTCGGAATCTACTCATATGACTTTCTAATATATTTCTGGAAACAAGCAGGATAACTTTAATGTTATTTAAGAAGTGCTAGATTGGTTTGCATGGTGCTATTTCTCTTCTGTGAAAATAAGGCCTGATGCATTTCATATTACCATTGAAGTTCATTTGAAGTTTCTTTTTTTCAGAGCACAATGAGCCTATACTGTCTTCATTCTTCACCAGCATGTGTCTTATATTCTAAAAATAGTTGGATTGTTTAATGATTCCGTACTTGATAAACATTTCAGTGAGTCTTTTTTAGTAAGAAACTTCATGTCTTGTTTAAAGGGGTAAAATAAAAGAAGTGGGAGAAAAGAGAAGGTATATTTACTGAAAGGTATTTACAGTTACCCCATTTTGAAAGGTATTCTTCATTCTTTAGCTTTGCTTTCCTCAAGAAAAAAAAAAAACACATGAATTTTCTTTTACTGAAGAAATAAAATACCATTCCACGTTTGTTCCATAAAGTTAAAATATTCTCTCCAAATTAAGGAATCAGTGATTTCTCTTTGTGCTTTGGAGCTAAATACCAAGAACAGTTTGGGGACTCTTAACAGCTATCATCAATTTCTTCTGGACAACCAGAGGTCCTTGGAGACACAAGATACTGAAATGATGCCTTTCCCTCCTATCAATTTGCAAGTTTGGTAAAAAACCTCTAGAGTTAATAAGCTCTATGCCTACAGTATTTATTTACATGTTGGTTAATTAAAGCAACTTCCCTGAAGGGATTGACCATAATTAGCCCTGCAGCTAATGAAAAAGCTGTGCCTTTTGGCATTGGATCAAATGCCTTCTCCCTCCCAAACTACAATTTCTGTGGCAGAGATTCTTTATGCAACTTGTAAGGAAGAAATATAAGGACCAGGTAATGGGTGGCAACCTGTATTGTTAATTAAATAGTGCATATGTACAGGGCAGTTTACTGCTCCAGGATGCAGAGTGTTCATGTTTGTTCTTCGTGTAATGCCCCTTGTCCTCTGTTGACGTGAATCTGAGGGCAGATGTTTCCTTCCTCATGTCGGAAAATATTAACCACGTTTTTCCTAGGGATGCATTTCGAAAAATGTATGAGACAAAAGAGCGATGCTAGGGAGGTGTGCTAGGTGAGAGCCTCTGACTTCAGTGAAGAATCCTGCTCTGTCCCGGAGGGCTCAGTCTGCAGGCTGCTGAGCAAGCAGCGCGCACTTTCTTGGTGGTGCTATTTCTGTAGAACCCCACAGAGTTTCCGTCTTGCAGCGTGTGAGACTTTGCTGTTCTGAGTGAGATGGGGAAGCTTTTCGGCAAAGGAGAAAGTCTCTTTTAAAATATGTGCTTGAAAATAAGAATAAGCAAGGCTGAATGAAAATTCTGTTGGTTTTCATTTTGTGGAATTTAGGAGGCTCTAGCTTCATTGTCCAAAATACAATTCAGATCCTGGCATTTGGTGTTTGCTGAATAGAAAAGCTAACAGAAATAATCCGTTGGAAACAAAATGACCATGAGTTGAATCATAATCTTATCAAGACAGATTTAAAATAAATATTTTATATGCTTACTGTTCTATCTCAACATGCATTTTTTCCCAAAGCATCCATTGCTATATAAAGTCTGTCATATACATAAAATTTTATTGTATACATGACAAATTTTTTCAAGTGCAATAATTAATGTACAAGGAGCTGCACTTTGTCCAGTTTTTCAGTTTTTGTCCAAAACGAAAAAGGAAACAAAAGAATATTAAGGAATAGACTTGTCTAGGTTGAAATTGAAAGGATCAAACTTCAATACACAAATTTAGTATTCATTACCTTTAAACAAACACAGGTCAAGTCTGCTTCTGCCTACTAGACAACATCATCTTTTAGGGAAAATTAAGCCTGAAATTCTAAAC